AAAATTGTATGTTTCTGTAAAAAATAAAAAATTATTGAAAAAATAAAAGCGTGCAATACTTTTGTCCCCCCCGGTAGCTATATTAACTTTATTTTTCTCTATAGTCTTTGAGGAGATTAGTGATGATGACAAAGTGTTCAAACACTGTATAGAGGATATTATCTTAAAACTTTTGAACGTGTAGATCATGATCGATGCTAACGAAACAACGCGCTATGAATTTATTTCAGCTATATTACATGCGTCAATTGTTATCGCCAAAAAACTCACCTCTCAAGATATATAAAAGATATTTCTGGTGAAGATGCGACAGGCTGAGTAGATTACGCAATCAAAAGTCTAGAAGATCTTCTTTGCATTACCAAAGGGAAATCACGTAATATTAAGATTGGATATGCCCAGGTAGGACTGTTTGTCTTCTTAGTCTACTGGCTTTGAAATAAGAAGACTAAAGAGTGATGTATTATATTTTTTAGAATCTGGCACAACTTGAAAGTGCGTTCCAAACAAATAAGAAAAAACGAACAACGGATCAAGCTTTTAATGAAGATTATTTTGATTATCTTTATGGCATTGTGATTACAGGTACGGAGTGGCATTTTATAATATATACTCTAGACGGTATTTTCTGTACAAGTGGTAGTGAATACCAAATTAATCTTACGAAGACTGCGATCAAAGAAAATCCTGATTTACTTTGAAGCAATGTGAAAAGGATAATAGGTATAATTGTTGGGCTACTGAAAGATAGGGTTAGTGTTGATAGTTCCCCAACTAGTAAGAGAGCTAGAATCGAAAAATTAATCAACAAATATGTATCACGGGCTACGTCCCGAACTTTGTATTTATTTTTTGCATATATTAATAAAAAAATTTCTTGGCAATTTTCAGCGACGGCCCGTCACCCAAAAATATGTGATATATTTTATTTGAATGTTTGTATATAGTGTAAAAAGGTCTTCGAAATGGAACCTGAGATTTAGACAAGAGAATATTACTAAGATCACTGGACTTGGATCACCTGAAATGCATTTTTGCCATGCAAAAATATATAGACGTTATCTATACTTCATGTAAACCTGGCCAAGAGTTACAAGTATTTTCCCCTGATTTACACAGCTTTGCGGATTGTAAGACAGGGCATCATTAAAATGAAACAAAAATGGAAATTGAACGATTAGAATTTATGATTTACAGATCCTTAGATGAAACGGTAAATTTTTATCACCCTATTGATACTAGCCCATTCAAATTACATATACAGGCTAATCACATATTATCACCATCTTTGGAATAATGTTTTATTCCGTTGATCAACTTGTACAAAACACGAATAGGAATTAGCAGTATGTGAATTTTTATTTTGAAAATAAACTATAGTAAAAAATTTGCAAAAACTGTATAAAAATCAGAGTATTAAAATTAAAATAAAAGCATTGTCTTTTTGAGAACGTCCATTCAAGATTCCTCCAGTTCTTTTTCCTCCGGTTCTTTTTCCTTCAGTTCTTTTTTTAAAGTGAATATCACATTAAATTTTTCTTTAACATTATCCAAAATCAAATGAATAGGGATTACATAAGATACCCTACTAATTCCCGCAATAACGATCCCCCATAATTTACCATCATTATCAAATACTGGTGAACCGGAGTCCCCACTTTCGGCTGTAAATAGATTAAAATATGAATAATTTCAAAGGAAAACAAAATAGAATGCTAATATGAAATCCGTCAACTTACAAAATGTTTGTCGATTAATACCAAAAACTTGCAATGCAAACCTTTGACTTCTTTCTTTAGGTTTTTTTTTACCTTTCTTTTTGACAATAGGAGGATAAAAAGGCATCCACATATCTTGTATTAACCCTTCTCTGAGGAAAGTGGTTCTCCAACTTCTTAACATTTACAAAATCATCATTATTATTTACAGAGGTCTTGATACTACGAATTTGGATATGTTGTTTAAATGGCACGTTTGGTAATTTTGGAATTTCTCGATCCTTCACAGTTTCACAAAAAGCATAATCAAGATAATGACAAGCCGAATCAGCTCCAATAAAATTGTACCTTGTGACCTTAGCTATACGCTTGCGTTAACCTTATCATTAAAACTGTCAATCAGAAAATAATAATAGAAGTAAAAAAATCACAACATTTCAAACCTCATCGAGTGTTCCCGGTTGAACCACTTTTTCATCCTCCTTTCCCACGCCATGCTTTGCAGTTAATATAAATGTTTTATTGGATACTGCAGTATTTTGAAATAAAGGACCAAGTGTAATTGCATTTAATGGTTCATCTTGTTTACCGATACTTATGCCAGGTATAAGGTCTTTGTGATATGAACGATGGTATAATTCAAGAGCTTCATAGGAAATCAACACAGGAAAGCTCTCAAATTCAGCTGGTAAGTGGACAGGTGTCCCTTCTGATTGATCCACGAAGGCAACAAGAACTTCCTTATCATCTACTAATCCTTCAATTACACAAGAAAATGGAATTTTCTTATCATATCTCTTCAGAAACTCATTTTTAGCCTTATTAAGCAATTTAAATCGAATAGAGTCTCTGACTGGGAGAATATCACGTTCACCAAGCTTCTCCGGATCCATATTTATCTTTTTTTTGTTTTCCGCTTCCTCTTTTTCTTTTTTTTCTGTATATCATAATATGTTAGAAGATAATTCTTATTCGTTAATATTTCAAATATTCTAACGTACTAACCTGTCGGATTTATTTTGTTTTTAACATATTGTTTTCTTAATTCAGTAATGCTTCCTTTATTCACATCCTTATCTATGATGAAAAACCAATAATAGGCACTTCCAGAAGCCCGTTTGATGTTTTTAAAACGATCATTCGATTTGAGAATATACAGTTCGAGCTCAGTTAAACTATCAAATGACATTAACATTTCCTTATTGTTGGCAAAAGTAAAAATGACCGAGAGTTTCCTAATATTGTAAATATCTTTAATCTGATCCAAAAAAGTTATGTTAAGCCAAATCTAGAAAGAACTTGTTATAACGTTTTATAATAAGAGTGGTAAATAATACAAACCTTGCATTTGTGTGTAAATTCTACATCTTTGTAGGTTCTATTGTAAAACAATATATTTCCTTGTTTGATATATTGTTCGTCATAAAGCTGTTGTAGAGATATGTTTGTGTAATCTTTAAAAGCTACAGCTACAGAAATAAATGATTTTTATCGAGCTTTATAATATCTCTCGCTTGAATTACAACTATATGATTAAAAAAAGCGGTCAGCTAGACCTACCTTGACTCAATATCGTTAGACTATCCAGCATTCGTAAAATGGTTAAATATGGAACGTAGACAATGACATGAATAAACTCTTTAGGAGGTTGCTCCGTCCAGTAATCACCAATAATTCCTTCGAGCTTTTTTAAATTTTTGCTATCTGAGGTAAAGCTCGAAAATTCTTTTTCATCACTATAGTCAACACATACTTGCCAAAGCGTTAACTGATCGGCCTCAATATCGTTGAAAATATCCTCCCCTGCCCCTTTAATTTTCTCTTTAATATTCTTTTTAAATTTTTCGACAGAATTTTCTGTGTTGGTAATAATAGTAAATTCATAATTTTCTTCACCTTGAACGTGAAGACAGTTAAGAGAAATGTCAACCATAGCAATTGATTTTTGTGCCTAGACACGAACGAACGAAAAAAAGGTAACGAATTTGAAAAGGGAGTAATAAACGATACGACGGTGATACAGAAAATGATTGGACTGATTCAAATAGCCTGTTCCAATCCAAAATTTATTGGTCGATGAACATATTTCATATTAGTCAATTGTAATATTTCATTCAGTTCCCTCTTATTCGGGAATGTGTTCATTTCTCCTCACATGGTGGCGAATTATAAAACCTATTCTTTTTTGAAAGATCTTGAATGAGAATTTGTATAGGAGGATAATAATGGAGGGATGTTTAAGCACATGAAGGACTAATACTTATCACAATAGAAAGAACAAATTTATCAACCGTTATAACGCAAATTCTATCTCAAAAATTACTAATGAGGAACTCAAAATTCTAATTCTTTTACTAAGACAGAAATTTCGCCGACCTTGGATCGAAAAAATCTTGCCTGAAGTAAATGCGCCAACTGCACTTCAAATTACTGGCAAATACATCTATTACTTTGAAACATCTGTCTCTAACACTTTAGGTGGAAAGTTACCTAATGAAAAGATGGGTACATCAGTCGCATCTCAAGCAAGAATATCCATTTACATCTTTCTCCAATGAGATAAGATCATCTAACAGATCCAGACACCCAATTTCTATCTTACCTAAAGATCCCAAAGCAAAAACATATCATTGGGTTTGTATTAAAGCAGTTCCCTTTCCTATCTTTAAGGGATAGTGACAAATGTAGCAACAGATTTAATCTTAACAGTTCAGCAATCTATCCTATATGCAATGGAGATCATAAAGAAATTATGTAGAAAAATATAAAGAGTGAATGGGGTTCAAGTGAATATTACAGAGAATGAACTTATCGTCTCACATGCTGGAATGTCCTTCAGTGTGAAATCCTAATAGTAAATGTGAAAGCATAGACGAAAACTTCATCATGTAAGACTGATCATTTAAAATGTGTAGTATGATATCAGAAAATTCTTGCCAAGCCTTTTGACAGGTGGTTTCTTTTTTTTGAACTTTTATCATATATATTGTAGTATATTGCGCTGTATACGTCATTGAAATCTTAGCTGGTAGATCCCATATTTCTATTAGTTAGAAGTGAGAAAAGTCTTCATAGTTATCATATAACATAGCATGTATCACAAGCTATAGTAAAACTTCTGATTTATTTTCTTACACATATTCTCCTATGATGTAATAATAACCGATCATAAATAAAAAAAAAGAGAAAATTATTTTTTTACTAATCGCTTATTTATTATATCATATAAAATGATAAGCAAAGTGTATTACATATAACGAATATTATTAATCGATAGATCCTGCTTCTATTGATTGATAGTGAGCTTCAAAGTTTTGGTACTAGAAAAAAATTAGCTAAACGGGTAAGGCGATAAACTATTTTCATGATGAATATATAGATATGATGATATACTTTTTTTTAGGTTTCCTAGTGTGATATAATCACTAGCGAAGAGGCTAATGTCTGTTATAATATTATTACTTTCTACATAGCAGTAACTAGTTTTATATCATATATTAGCATATATGATAGCTACATATCAAATATTTTACCAGCACTTGAATCTTTATGAAAATGAAAACCTAATCTGATTCCGCAATGTAATATTAAATTATTTATCAAACAAGTCTTAAAAAACTAATATTAAATATATTTTTAGGTCATAACAGTATTCAAAGATCTTTGTTTACTCATAGAAATGGAAGTGTTAGTAATCGATACTGAAGCCTGGTATGAAGATGCAAATGCAAATTTATGATATTTGAAGTGTGATGTTAGATAATGAAAAGTGAGAGTGTTAGTTATGAGAAAATCATGTAGGAGAAAATAAAAACAAAACTTGAGAAAATAAATGTGAAGAACCTTAAATTCAATTATTCAATTTATTCAGGTGTTCTAGATATCAAGTCAGAACCCTTTACAAATATGCCTAGATCAGTTTCTAATATTTTTAAGAAGCCATTTTGAAAATATAAATTAGAACATAATCATGATATAATGGAAGCTTATAAAGAATTTATTCAAAATAAAGAATCGAAAATTAACATAATAAGGTTTTGGATAATATTGGTTATGAAGAATGATTGGATAAGCCTGAAGAATTACAAGATCTAACAAAACGGATATTAAAATCTATGTAAGTCACCGGTAAGCAATTCTTGTCAAAATCTATTTATATGATTTTTACTTTGCTCACTAACCAATAAATAATTATAGGCTCAAGGTTTGGAAATTGCTAAAATATGATACATATATAAAGAAGAGGAAATCAATAAATGAAGGATAATATGTTTGTAAAATGCTTATGCCATTATTAAATATAGTGATAAGCGATTTACTAGAAAACCTAATAGCATGGAACATATGGTAGGCTTAGCTCAAAAAGTTTCATTACTCTACTATTATATCTGCTATAATTAATATTTTCTAAATTAAGGGATGAAAAGGGAATTCAGCTAGTGCTATACAAAAAAATTCTCGTAAAATTGCCTAAAGAGCTGATTATATGATGGTAATCTAGTTCAGAAAAAATGCTGAACTTGAAATTGTTTATCTTGAAACTGGTAGACCTAATTTCAGTCAAGATAAGTGGGATCATGATCACAAAAAATTAATATGTTTTTCCAAAGATTCTATTAACATCATAAGAAATATAAAAAACCTTAAAAAGTTATTTAACCAACCATCAAGGAGGCAGAATCTAACCATATTCACTATTAACATCGTAGGTATAAATAAATTATTTTTATTTTTTATATATTCATAAATCATTCATATTTTACTCTATCTATTTCTAAGCGATGTTATGAAACTTTATGCTATACAAAAAGAATCAGGCATTTATAAGTACTATTTAATAGAGAAAGCAACAATTCCATTATATATAACTTTACCAAATGCTATATATCAGCTTATCCATACTTTATTGACATTGAGAACGGCTGTAGCAGGACCCCGGATAATTATAATAAAGGTCATATCCAAAAAAAGTATATTTTTTTGTATTTTTAATGGAAAGGTCATATGAAAAAAGCGTATATTTTAAGTAAAAGTCATATGCAAAAATAGTGTACCATAAAAATAGGTCACAGTAAAAAAAGTATATGATTTCAAGTAAAATTTTAAGGTTACATATGATTTTTTTAGTAAAAGTGTATATTTTAAGAAAATATCACATGCAGTACTACATCAATTTTTAGTATAAATAGTAAAATTTCTTTGATAATTTTACCATGGGATAAGAAAATTCATTTTTTACCACAATGTAATAAATTTATGTTAGATAAATTTACCGGAAATTCAATATATTTTACCATTGATTATTTTTAAAATGTTAACATGTACGCATTTTAACTTTTATCTTTAATACAAAATGAACAATAAAAATCTCGAACAACTTTTAGATATTAATAAGTTACTTTCTACAACACCACCTCCTAATATTCATTCTGTTCGAGCTTATGTTTTAAATATTAATATATCCGATATTTTTTCTATTACTTTTGATACACCCTATGAAACACTTCCTACATTAACCAAAATTGATAATACTTCTGAAAAAATCCTTCATTTGCAATATTCACACTTAACTTCTGCAGTTATCTTTTCTAATGGAGATTGTTTATTAAATTCTATATCTCTAATCTTTAATGCAAACCAAACTTTGGCATTACAATTTAGACTAGCTATGATTGTAGAATTAATAAAATTTTCAGATTTTTATCTTAGTCAAAAAATTTTTAAAGAAGATTATTATTTTTCTGATGCAGCTTTAAATTCGGTTAAAAATTCAGATATGCCAATTACGTATAATAAAGAAAGAGAATATATTGGTAAAATTGCTTATATGTCTAAGCCACATCGATTTTGCTTAATTATTGGATTATATGACTTGGCATCAGTAATTCAAAGACCAATAATGTCTATATATTCTCTAACTGTTTCTCAATTAATTAGTTCTTTATATAACAAATTAATTGAACCGCGAATTAAAGTTTATGATGAACCTATTATGATAATGTGAACACCATCAAGTGAAAAGTGGAATATTAACGATCTTTTACCACAAACAGATCATTTTGTTCCAGTTTTCAAAAGAAATTCACCATCTTCATTTGATTTGAATATTGATATCGATATTGAAATACAAGATGATTTACAGTCTAATAAAGATGAAAATATATTTTCTGATATTTTTAAATCAGAAAAATATATAAGCAACGATTCTGATATTGTAGAATTTAACTCAAGTATTAATGATAATGATAGCAAATCATTATCATCATCATATACTACTAATAATGAAAAAAATATTAAAAAAAATGAATACGAAATAATCAAAAATGAATAACAAGACTTGATCACATAAAGGTATTAAAAATTCAGATTAGTTATTGTATTTGCAATTAATATTACTTATAATTATTCAATTTTTTTAATTTTTTTTATTAATTAGGATAAAAAACTACGAAATCATCCAAAAGTTGGTAAAATTATTACTCGTAATGAAGTTCAATGTAAATGTAAAAAGATAATCAAATTGCATCATGCTTACAATCCAAAAAATTTAGAAAAATACAATCAAACTAGCAACTGTTTATTAACAAAAGGAATCCGTTCACTTACAAGCTATTTTACAAATTTTACAAAATCAAAACAATTTTCATGTATTGGATTAAGAGACAAAGAGCATTTAAAATATTTACAAAGAATTGGCGGAATTATTTATTATGGTGGAGCACCATGTATTGAAGTATTAGCAAAAGAATTATTTCCAAAAAAGTTTGACAAAGATTTCAATTGGAAAAGATTGACAAATAATGAAAAAAATAAGTTGGAAAATGAATTAACTGCAAGAGCAAAATGGCGTAATGATTTTAATTCTAATTGCATCTAAAGTATAAAATGTAAAATTACAACAACAAATAGAGAAAAAATTTGTAAAAAATGTATGAAATTAAGTAGTAACAAAATTTTAAAGGTAATTATTATAATTTACAATTATAAATAATAAGAATTATCAGTTTAGCTTTTTATTAATCTTATATAAATTATTAGAATGCAGTTGAACGATCAATCCCAAAAGTAGAGAATCGAAAATTTACACCAAAACATATAATTAAAAAAAATCCGATCTTCAAATATTTAAATGACTCTAACCTTAATGAACTCTATTATTCAGTAGATTCAAAGCAAGATTCATTTTGGCCAATATTAGCAGAAAAGGGACGTCAAGGAGTATTTGAAAATAAAAAAGTTTTTGAAGGACTTTGTAAAGTTATGCTGGAAATAGCTGATCGTAAACAAAAAAATAAAGGAAATCAAAATTTGCAATATACAGAAAATTTTGCAAATTTTACAACTATTTTGGCATCATTGGGAACAAGAGGATATGAAATGTTTAAGCAAAATTTAGCTGGTCGTATACAGTAGCGGTCATAAGTATCCGACCGCCTCTAACTCCGGCTACAAGTAAGTAAATTCAAAATTTTTTTTTTT